TTTAAACCTTTTTTATTAGTGCTGTTTTTTTAGTGTCATTAGTTCCGAAAAATTTGAACTGAGAAATGATAATTTGCGTTTATTATTGTCTTTTTTTTATAATTGGTTAATTATCAAAATATTAATTGAAATATAATACGATTCAGACGCTTTCAGAAATCAATCGAGATGCAGAATTTATAACTATTACTCTATTCGTCTTGCCTTAGGATGGTTTTATCAGTATTGATTTACAGTTGTAAAAAAAATGATATTGTTAAAAAATACTGGATTATAAGTTATATTTAAACTGGCTGATATCATTTTAAATGTTTGATTTTTGTATATAGCGTATGGAAATTAGATTAAATAATCTGTTTGCAAATAAGGAAATTTCAGGGGGGACGATGGGGGCTGCTGGTGTAGTTCATGTCTTTAGTTCTAAATGGATATAATTTGTTTACCTCCGTGTAGTTTGACTTCTTGCCCTTTCCAGCTAAATGTTCCTGAGGTTTGTTCCGGTAGTAATATCTCTGCGCGGATCCCATTTTTTCTACTTCTTTTAAGTGTAACAGATACTTTTCCAGAAGGGATAGGCATGGTACCGGTAACTTCGTTTAATTTACCTAGGGAAGGTTTAATTAATACTGTTTTAAAGCCTGGGGTTTCAGGCATGATACCGCAAATCGTAGCCAGAAAATCATAATCCGGACTTGCACTCCAGGCATGGCAATCAGACCTTGTAGGCTCCGGCTTTTCTGCGAAAGTTGTTAATCCCATTTTCAGCATAGCTCTCCATGGTCCGAGCTCCTGATAATATAAATCTCCCATTTCAGCCTTTTTTAAAGCCTGTGTAAGGTAAAATCGATAAAAAAAAGTAACCTTACCTATTGATTTATCATTCAGAATCTTTCTCATCATAATTTGTGCCTCCTGTAGTGTAACACCTCTACTTAGAACAGCCCAAATGCCAGCATGCTGACTATAGGTTAGTTTTTCGGGAGTATCAGCAATCAAACCATTTGTTTGATTATAACAATACCAATAGGTATGATCATTCAATTCCAATGCAAGCATTTCCTGATCATCTGCCTGTGCAGGGTGGTCAAAAGCTCTGAATAGCTCTGCAGCTTGATTCAAGGTATAGGCATATTGTAAAGTGATGATAGATGAATTTCCCTGATCTGCTCCCGGTGCGGTGCCCCAGTCATTGAAATTATCCCAGTCTACAAAATTCCACCACGTGAGTGGGCCTAACATTTTTTCTTTTGATCAACACGGGTATGAAACCATTCCAGCGTCTCATTGATAGCCGGGAGAAATTGTTTGACAAAAGGCATCATCATGCCGATGCATCCAATAATCATGGATCATAGATATCCAAAATAAAGAGAAGGTCGGAATGATTTGTAATCTGTTACTCGGATAACGCCCCTGTGTTAAGCCCTCGGGAGTGCGGGAATGATAAAAATCCAGAATCGCTTTCCGCATCAGTCTGTCATCGCCAGAGGTATAAAGAGAGATTAAGGCTTGTATACGGCTATCGCCTGTATATTGTAATTGTTCATAATAGGGTGTATCATAATACAGATCTCCAGCACAAAGTTGTGCTGTACGCCAGCCTGCCTTCCATATTTCCTGTAATGAAGGATCATTGCTGGAAAATGATGCATTCATTTTAAGCGGATAGCCTGTTTTCATCCCATATATATCGTTCAAAATTAATGGGTCATCAGCGGTCATAATATCCAGCTGCAAATAACGATAAGCTCTAAACCACAAAGGACGGAATTTTCTATTGCCTTCGCCATCGGGCATAAAAATGTC